CTCTTCTATCCATTCATAAATTTTTCCATTCATTCATGTCTATTTATCTACCTATCTACTCAGCTATCCATATTACGCTCATCCATTTACAAGTCATCCCTCCATCTATTATTTAAACTATCATCTGAATTCCATCCAACATTTCCTATGATATAGATATGTATACAGTATTAATGGCGGCATGTGATGCAGACTCAGTTGCTGATGAAGATAAAGTTTTGCATTGTGTTGAGATGTTACTTGAGCATGGAGCCAAGATTGGTTTTTATGACAGGTAACTTGAATGCCCAGTAAAATATCCTAAAACTGTTTTCCTTCAAGCAATACAGCTTCTAGATATAACAGGGTGTGGATGGGTATTTGCGGGATGTAGGAAATGGATAAAACATAGTTCTGGATCCAGGAAACTAGAAGAAAATCTTACAAAATTCAGGATATTGGTATAGGCCATGACTCAGGAATAGCCAAATTCAATGTCCGGGATGCAGGATTTTGATCTTGATTTTCAGGGGAAAACATAAAAACATTAATGAGTAAAACAAAAAGTCAAACGCCTTTGAATATGTTGAATTGGGTCATTGCTTGAGATTTTCGCAGGATGCAGGATTTCGACAAAAGATAACTTGTGATTCGGGAAGTGGACCCCCCCACTTCCATGAGACCCAGATATAAGGGTATATTTGGGTTTCCATAACCCGAAAGGTTTCTACATGTAGCTGCCTTTCCATCAAAGCTTGTGGATATTGAAAATGAGTAGAAACATCAATAATAGGCCCTTTGCAGTTAACGGTCACRTGTCTGTACTGGTGAGCAAATGTTTTTATTTTATTTTAAATTGGTGATTCTTTTTAGCTACTTGTAAAGAACTGAATGAAATGATGTGTAACCAGTGTGTTACGAGATGCAGCTTTATTACGATCTCTCGAAACAGGTTGTAGAAATTTTGTTTGCTCACCAGTATATTTCACCCATGGGAATCAAGATGTTCATTCATTTGCTCTCAGTGAATTAATCAGCACTTGATTACTGAGCTGCAAAGGGCCTATATTATGATTCAGCATTGTACTTGTAATAGAAAATGTAATAGGATGTTTGCATGATGGCGTCATTTGACCTCTACTACCAGACTCCCTTGCACACTTTCTTTTGTTCTGTTAATTAGCTTCAATTGTCTCTCTAATTTTATGAGAAAATACAAGTTGAAATAAGAAAGAAAATTTGTGAAGCATTATAGTAGTGAGAGTCAAATGAAGTCATCATGCAAACGTCTTATTGGTAATTATTATAACTCWGTACAATACATGATGTACAGTGTGCCTAAAGCCTCATCACCAAACATGGTATATTGTTCAATGATCAGCATATTTATTTCACAACAGTTGTTCTCTTTTTCATTGGTAGACACAGGATGTCACCTCTGATGTACGCAGCTCGTCAAGGAAGAGTCGCTGTTTGTGAGAGACTTTTAGAGAAAGGGGCTCAAATAAACAAGACAGATGGCCGAGGATGGACAGTATGTAGCACTGTGTAGATGTGGGAAAATTATGAAGTAGTAGGGAGGGTCTGAGGAAGGTATAATGTGCAGTGAATATCCATACCTCACCCCTACGCAGAGAGGGATTGGAATTTCCTCAGGGTGGGACTACTCATTATCGCAATGCCATGTTATATATAAAGAATGTTAAGAAATGCTGATGCTCTAATTGCAGGCATTATCATGGGCAGCAAGTAGAGGGCATGGTAGACTGATACGAGTTTTACTAGACCACAAGGCTGATCCTAAGCTATATTCACTAGACGGCCAGGCACCAAGTGACATTGCGTATTCAAGTGGATACCCTATTGTAAGTATTATTATATTATACTGTCATATATAAAATAACTGTTATAAATGTAGCATTCTAATTGGTTGGGAGGTAGTGCGTTATGAGAGCACACACCATGCGTGCGCACTTTCAGTTGCATCAATCCTATCACGGTTAGACTATATAAAGGAATCTTGAATTCTGTTTGGTCTAGCTCAGATACATTAGATTAGACTGAATCTGAATGTAATGTATTTGAAATTTGATTAAATAAAAAATAAAAATAAAATAACGATTATTGTAATTTGTATTTTATAAAAGAAATAAAAAACTTGCT